TTTTTGTTTAAAGAAAATGCGATGTGATTCAAAACTGGAAAACCGAGCAGAGGTTTTATTGTCATATACTGTCATATACTAACTAGACTGCTCAGTGCAGCAGAGTGAGGAATGATGCTGCCCACTTTCTCTAATTTTAGGCTGAAAACACCAAACATATGCTAAAATGCTGAGTACACACAGCTTAACTCGCGAACACTCGAGCTAATTATTATGCAATTATACGCTCAGACTGCTCTGTTTCTGCTGCCTGTGATAAGAATATTGAAAACCTCACCGTGTTTCGCAGCGGGTTGGGTGAACCTCAGGGAACAACATTTAATCAGTTGCTTGTTATTGGCTGCTGGGCTCACCTTGGGTCCGTCAGTTCCAGGAGTTCCAGGCAGACCTCTGGGTCCCTGCAGACCCTGAGGGCCAGCGGCTCCTCTCTCGCCGGGAAAACCACGTTCTCCCTGAACAGTAGCACAGTGACAATCAGCAGCATGTATGTTAATCAGCAGCTTACAGTATAATGAAATTATGTTAAGATTGTGAACTTACTCTAGGTCCAGTGGCACCAGCAAGTCCAGCCTCTCCAGGAACACCCTTGAATGGTGAAAAGAAAGAGAAGCTAAAAGACCTGCAAGACTATCGCTGTTGAGATACTTAGTTATGCTTTATACTCATACCCAAACTAAATTAAAGCCAAAAAGCAAATATTAAGTGTAATTATAGATTTTTAAGAGTTTAGAAATCTGGTAGACGACATCTTAAGTCTTAAGACTTTTGCAGTCACTGATAACGTTGGAAAAAAGCAGCAGCGCTTAAACTGTTTAATTACCTGTGAAATTAATCTGAATCATGAGTTTGGAGTAAGTACATAAATTCATATCTTATACTCTATCTTTGTATACTTTTTATCTTTGTCTTATTTATCTTATTTGATCATGAAAGTGCACAAACCTGATCTCCAGGCTTTCCTCCCTCACCAGGTGGGCCAGGAGGGCCGGGAAGACCCTGTGTGCAGGAGAGAAGAAGCATTAAGACTGAACGCAGCGAAGCTTCAAGTCTGCACCCCCCCTGGGCTTCAGATGGTGTTATTGTTGCATGAACATGTCTTCAGGCCTGCAGTGCTGACAGGAGTTGCATATCACTTCCTGTGGACTGAATTATGGCTGTCACGTATGACTCCATCTTCCTGTCAGTATGTGTCTCTGTCACAGGAAACTTGGGAAAGATCAGGAGATTTGTGGCTGAATAATAACATCTTCTTTTTTTTTATGTTGAAACATTTTAATTTACTGCATTGCCATGGAAACACAGTTCAGAGAAAACTCATAAGCTAAATCGTTAGAACATCAATAAGGAGCTTGGGAAATTGTTAATATGCTCGGAAAAGATCTCTGCTGCTAAAAGGTGGAGCTATGACTGGAACTCAGTAATGACATGTACAAGTGAAAGAGCCGCAGTTTGATCCTGTGAGGGGATACGACTTCCTCTGGGGTTGCATCACAAAGGCCATCTGGTAAAGAAACATATCTGCCAACCTGTTAAATATGCAGAGCCACCTGCTGCGGCCATCCTTTCTGAATAAGGGAGCATATGGAGGAATGTGTGAGACCACGCCTCTTAATCTGTGAATTCAGGTGTTTTCAGTCCCGTTGCCACAAGTGTATAAAATCAGGCACCTGGCCAGCAGACTGCTTTACAAGAACGAATGGTACTTGAACAGGTTGCCACTCGCAACAAGTCAGTT